AGGGGCATTAAGCTTATGTTGATAGTTGCGTACCATGGAGGGCGGGTGGGGTGTGGGGGGTGTTGGGGTAGTAAGCTTCTGTAGATGGTTGCGCGGACCAATGCTTTCGAGGGTTGGGGTGGGGTGGGGGGGAGGTGGGGGGGGGTGGGGCAGGGGCATTAAGCTTATGTGTATAGAAAGAGTCCGGTACCGTAGTTTCCGAAGCCAAGTTTCCGAATACAACCGTTCCAGTTTCCGAAAACAACCGTCGAGTTTCCGAATACCAGTTTCCGCATACAACCGTCGAGTTTCCGAATCCAACCGGTTAGTTTCCGAATACAACCGTGGAGTTTCCGAATACAACCGTCTCAGTTTCCGAATACCAGTTTCCGAATACAACCGTGTAGTTTCCGAATACCAGTTTCCGAATACAACCGCGTAGTTTCCGAATACCACCCTTCCAGTTTCCGAATACAACCGTCTCAGTTTCCGAATACCAGTTTCCGAATACAACCGCGTAGTTTCCGAATCCCAGTTTCCGAATACAACCGTTCCAGTTTCCGAATACAACCGTTCCAGTTTCCGAATACAACCGTGGAGTTTCCGAATACAACCGTCCAGTTTCCGAATACAACCGTGACCTTCTAAACCGTGCCACGGCCGGGTTGCTTGTGCTGCTCCAGTTCTGGTGGAATGCACAAACGATAAACAGTAAACACATACCAGGGCCATCCAATAGTAGCACCTCAGCAGGCCCAGCAGTAAGAAGAGCACCTGTTTGTGTCCGAGAAAATCAGAAGCTGAGGCAGGGATGGCATATTTGAAGTTGATTTTGCCATTATATGTGATTCGTTAAGGCAAGTTGTTCTTTTGGGGGGCATATCCACGTCCATGATTGTTGAAGGGAGGGTGGTTCATCATCATCATCATCATCATCATCATCGTCATCGTCATCGTCATCATCATCATCATCATCATCGTCATCATCCGTTTTACGGTGTCAAACCGTGGTGCAACACATGCAGCTCAACCGATTCAAATCCAATTGACAATGCCTGGTGATTCATCATCCCTTTCTTCGGAGTGAGTGCGAGCACCCTTCCCGCCGGACCAGTCGCTCCAGCGGCTACGCTCCCGCTTGGTCCACACAAAACTGCGAGGCCAACGGATCTTTTCAGAGCCCCTCCACCGGTCTCATTGCCGACCTCGTCCCACCCGCCAGATGGAGGGGTGGCATCGTTCTTTTTCGTTTGTGCAGATCGGCTGGGGGGGGCAAGGTAGGCTGGTTCAAGGGCGGCCTCGGCGACGCCCTCCATTTTTTGCACCACTGTGGCTTCCATGGGCTGGCGGCCCTGGAAGCTTTTTGCGGAGTCTGATGGAAAAGAGCGGGGAAACAGACGAACGAAGCGACCGGTCGATGTTCTGCGTGGAGAGGGAGTGGGGTGAGCCCGCCGCTTTCCCCTTTTTGGGGGGCCGAATTTGCAGACTGCGCAAGACCAATGAATCACTCTTATAAGGGCTTAAGGCTTAATTTGTTTGGGATCCTCATGATGTGTCAGAGTGTGTTTCAGGAGGGGGGAGTTATCTATACACCTTCCTGTCAAGCAATGCTTTCAGGTTCCATGGATTCGGGCTGTTTGGCGCGGAACCCATGCGGTGCACCGACCGGGTTTCTTTCTTGCGTGCTCAAAGGTGCCTTGCGCAGGGACCTATGGGGTTCCAAAAACGGTACAACCTGTTCACCTCTCGTCCACGTCCGGTCAACCGCTCGGCTCGTGCTTCGAAGACTCGCATCGTTTTCGCCCCCCGAGGCGCATGTGTCCAAGTGTGAGCCCGGAGCGCCTGGGGAAGCGGGGTTGGTCGCCTGGGCCAGGTGGTGGGAGGCCGAACTCTGACCAAAGACTTGCCGACTTCGATCTCGTTGGCACACAGCTCGGAAGTGACGCGTTGGCTGAACACACCAGAAGACGCAAGCGGGAGACTGATAAGATGTTGACTGTACTAGTCCTGGACTGAGTCATGGAACGAAGTTGAGCATAGTTGTGGAGCAATGGACTTGCAGATGAACCAACCCGTGAGGAAAGGCAAACCCGAATCGGTTTGGCACAGCAACATGTAGAACTCCAGCGTCGTCTAAGTTGTCTCCGCCGTTTTCGTTTTGGATCAGCAACCATGGCTCCATTCACATCCCGCCACACACCCGATTCCACCCCCGATCGCAACCGGACGCGGAGCCTGGCAAGCTGATGGGCGCGGACGGGGAGCCTGCCTAGGTCCATGAAGAAGAATTTCATGAAAGGTGGTGACTACCACTCCGAGGACCGAATTTCTTCTCCCGGAGCCGAGTCCAGCCGGGTCCAGCCGGGCCGTGTGCACCAAGGCAGCTTTAAATTGGTTTTTTGGGGCTCACGGTACGTGCTTGTAGCGTCCATGCTGCGAAAAAAGAGGACTTCTTTTTGGAAGAGCCTTTTTTGGCTAGTAGGTTGGAGGCTATCGCGGTTGGAGGCCATTGCAGTTTTTGAGGTGGTGGGAAGAAAGAGGGACCAAGAGATCGGGCACTGATGTGTCGCAAGTGGAGGTGCCCCTACTCCGGGATTTTTCAGGTGGATTTGAATGGAAGCCACCTCACTGTTAGTTGTTAGTTAAACTCCAAATAGAGATGATAACATCAACTAACAGTGAGGTGGCTTATGGATAATTCTACATCCGGTTGCTGGTTTCGGATGATTTGCCATTTCGGCTGCCATGTACATGTCACTTTGACGTTTAGGAGTCTTTCAGCAAAGAAAAACCTGCTCGTCTTCCCGGCACGGTCGCACCGTTGCAGAACTTCGTCCCGGGGTTCCGGTCGTAACAGGTGGCGGCTGAGATGTATCCATACATCAAGGAAGCAGCTCGGTCAGCATTTGGTCCGGGAGGGTGTTGAGTGATTGACTCCATGTCGATGCCGTTTTCACAAGTACACTCTACAAATTTGCAGTCTTAAGCCTCGCAGCCTCAAGGCCTTGGTTCTAGATTCTGGGCCGTGTTTGGTCAGCGGTAGAACAAGTTGACTTATAGATATGGAGAGAGAGAGAGAGAGAGAGACAATGACATACCAGGACCCTCCAAGAAGTGCCCAATGGAAGCCTATAGGTAGTGTGGGGTGGTCCATTGGACACTCCTTGGAGGGTCCAGGTATAGTGTTCCTATGTGTTCCTATAGGTCCTAGAGTTGGAGAAGCTTTGGGATCAATCAATTGCTGGGTTCGCAAATTCAGGATGTGTTGATGTGGCGGTTTTGGATGTGTTGATGTGAAAAACCTTTACTTAAGGATTATTGAACCCACTGACCACCATTGACTCATACTTTTGTTCGTGAGTTGAATCCACAAACCAGCAGGTCAATGGCCTCACAAAACCTGCCGAAGACCAGTTGCTTAATCAGAGGGTTGAGCCAATTTGCTGGTGGGATTTTTCAGTGATCGCTTGAAACGTCTTCATGTTTGAGGGCTCTTGACCCATCGCCCAAATGTTTGGCAGCGACCATAGCACAAAGTAAGAGCCTTTTTTTGAGGGGTAATGGAACAGACGGGTGACGAGAACATGAAGCATAGCAAGAATCAAAAGAAGAACCTACGCCTCCAACTTAGTAGCAATGGCCTCCAACCAGTCCTCCAACCTACTCCATGTATGCCAGTATGCCATACTGTATGCCATATTGGACGATATTTGCCTACATTGACCCGGCGTCTTTCACCATCCGTGCAGCGCCAGCCGTTCAGAGCACAGGCGGTCCAAGGTACGGTCCGTTCGTTTTCCCCACCGAACGACCACCGAAAAGGCCCACGACCCACGGGAGACGCCCCACGTTTTACATGGAAAGCGCAGACGAAAACATCGAAAACTCATTGATGAGCTTTGGAACGCGGCAGCCGAATTCAAGGAACAACCGTGCAAACACTGTAAAACAGTGTTAAATTGTATTTAAAAAAGAACAAACAAACAAACAAACAAGCAAACAAACAAACAAACAAGCAAACAAGCAAACAAACAAACAAGCAAACAAACAAACAAACAAGCAAGCAAACAAAAAAGCAAGCAAGCAAACCAACAAACAAACAAAAAACAATCAAACAAACACACAAACAAACAATCAAAAAAGACATACAAAACAAACAAACAAACAAACAAGCAAACAAACAAACAAGCAAGCAAACAAACAAACAAGCAAACAAGCAAACAAACAAGCAAGCAAGCAAGCAAACAAACAAACACACAAACAAACAAATAAACAAACAAAAGACAAACAAAACAACAACAAAAAAACAAACAAACAAAAAGCAAAACAAAACAAACAAACAACCAACAACAGCATGTGTGTGCGTGTGTGTGTGTGTGTCCTTATTGTTGTTTCAAGTTATGAACTGATTATTCTGTGGGACTTTGGGGCCAACGGGGACGTCCTTGCAGGCAATCATGAAGGGCGAGGTGAGCACCTCTTCCAATGAGCGTGTGCCCACCGTCAAGCTACGATCTCAGCTGCGAAGAAGCCTGGCAATTCAAAGGGGGGAGTAAAGGCCAGGCTCTTTTGGGGGGGGCCCCTCGTTGCTTGGGTTGTTTTGTGCTTTAAACTTTTGCAACGAAAAAAAGAGGATCCTATGCAGGGACGAAAAACGGATGAATAGAGCTCCCCTGATCAACCAGCGCTGGATTGTGCTTGATGTGCTACATCCGTTGAAGGCTGCTTGTAGGTTGGCTGAAGATGAAGAGATATGTTTGTCTTTTTGCTTTACACCCAGACCTCCAATTGGTTGGTTGGTAGCCTGTTAGACCCCAACAAGTCCAACCCCAACGGGTATACCGTTTGGTCATGTCACCTGGGCGCGCCGGGCCGCGTGTTTCGCAGGTCGCGCTTTCCCAAGGAGCGCTCGACGGCCAAAGCCATCAACTTTGGCTCCCTGGCATTCGAACGACCTCAACGGTGTGAGGGGTTTGGTGGGAGGAAAGAGGGAGGACAAACAACAAGGATTTGCCATCATCAAGGATGATATCGGGTATTGTTTGAATATGTTCAATTGATGTGTGCATGATGATGGTGATGGATAATGGTGATGGATGATGATGGTTTCATCCAGGGTCAGTGATGGACCAAGCACACGGTGGGTGTGAGGGTCAATGGCACCAGCTTTGCAGCATTGACTCGGAGAGGGTGTCCTATGGTACAATACAGGCCCTATGCTGTGCCCTTCTTGGGCCTGTTTTCCAGGCAAGTGATGTTCACTTCAGGTCTTCCGGTGAAATCACAGGTGGGCGCAATGCAAGTATAGCCTTCCCATGATCTCCAAAAGCAACCTAATAGCAATGGCCTCCAACCTAGCGATGGCCTCCAACCTAATAGCTTTCCAAAAGATCAGAAACCAGCCTGGCACAGACATGTCCCGCAGAGGCAGCTTCAGTCTCTTTTTTCCGCTACCTGCGTCTTCGGTCGCGTGTTTTGGGATGCGACCGAAGACGCCGAATCCATCCGCCGAATCCGCCGGCGGTGCTGGTTCGGCTGAGGCATCTTGTACGGTGCAGGTGCCGAATCCATCGCGGAGGACTTGAACATCAGTTCCTCGGAGGGAGTAAGCACCGATCCGCGATCTTGGGGGGTTTTCGACTGACAGGGTGGGATGTTACATAACTAGGAGCAAGCAGAGGCATGGGCAAAGTTGGGGAGTGTATTCCAAAAGGCTTTATATACTTGGCTCATGGTCTTTTGACCATAGCTTTCCCTTCGTTTACTCATGCTGCCAAGCTGGTCTGTTGCCTCGTGCTGTACCTTTGATAGCACTCCAGCGGTAGCCGCAAACCCTCTGGCTGTGGAACGAGGCAACTAGCCCATCCGAGCGACTGGCAGCTGTACCCTGGGAATTTCAACCAATGTTTGAATGGGGCCTGAATCCCGAACAACTTGAGACTATACTTAAAACCAGGTGAAGCCTTTTTGGCCTTTTCAGGGCACGGTAGGTTTTCATGTGCCGGTCCCAGCAAACGGCAGGATAGAAGAACATGATTGGAAAGTCCCAGCAAAGCAAGGACCCTATCGACCCAGCAAAGCCACGGAACAGAGCCCCTGGTAGCGTCCTTGCTCCTAGTAGCGATGCCAGGAGCCCCTAGTAGCTTCTTGTTGCTAGTAATTGGAGTGTGCTTCTTTGCTACTGTAATTAGCATGAAATGGTCATGGTCAATGTCACTTGAAAGGATGCGCAGAGTGATTCCCCTCCGAAAACACCTTTCTTGCACAGAATCCAAGCGTCGATAGGGGTCAGCATTTGGCACCGGTGCAGCGGTGAGCGGAGGTTTGTTGAGGTGGTGTAACCGAGAGATTCCATCATACAGAGAGACCGGCAGATAGCTGCTCCCTACGCACGGTGAGGCGTAGAACAAGCGCGAGATTTGATGGATGCGCAGTCCTCAGCTCGCTCGCCAGGGGGATGGCAGAGGGCTCCGAGAGTGGCTCCCCTTCTGCTATGGGGAACGTGCGTCCGCGTGGATGAAACGAGAATGAAGCACCCGATGCCAGCACCCTCCAACAGATCTCCTCACAGCCAAGGCCTGGTATGAGAGCAAGAAGGCAGTGCGCAGGCGCAGTCTTTGGAATAACAAGAAGCTACTAGTAGCTCCTGGCCTTACAACCAGTAGCTTGTTACTAGTAAGGCACCTTTCTACTAGTAACAAGAAGCTACAAGCAAAGGACCTGTAGGACCTGTCGGGTTTTTTCAGGTCCGTGACCATGTGCATTTCGAGCGTTCGGAGTCCAGCCCTTCGGCCGGTCGCCCTTTCGGCCGCACGTTCGGCACGATTGATCGGTCCTGTCCGTCTGGACCGGTCGATCAGTTCCCAGACACGACGCTCCATGGGACTGCCAGTCCGGACTGCCGAGAGTTCCGGCCAGGGCTGGTGGTTTTAGGGGGGTCTGTCTGGGGCGGCAGTCCGGACTGGCAGTCCCATGGGTCGTGTCTGGGGTTGGTGTTTTTATGGGCAAATTGATCGATCAGTTGGTCCGTATTGATCGATTGGTCGGAAATTGAGACAGTTTGCACTTGATTGGTCGATCAGTTTGGAGGCCGAGTGTGTTTGGGTCTCGCGTGTCATGGCAAGCCAGGTGGCAAGCTGACGTCATGGCGCAGAGCAGCCAGGCGGGTGGTCGTTTGGTCGGGTGGCCAGGTGGCGACGTGTTTCGTCGAGTGCGAATCCCACGTTGACTTCTTTCAAAATGGGCGATTGCAATCAAAGCGATGGCAGGCCACCCTAAGAGCGATGGCCTCCAACCTATAAGTATATACTATGGTATGGCCTCCATCATGCGATTGCGAACCTTGGTGACCTGCTTGAAGCTGGGGACGGTTGACTCGTCCGGTCAGCAGCATAACTCGACAGGAAGGAACACAAGAAGCACTTTACAATTGGGTCCATGGTGGTGTTCACACCTTTTTCTCAGTGGAGCACGTAGACTCCCAGTCCTGACTTAAGTGCTGACTTTTGCAAATCGGCATTCCATGGTGACTTCCATGGTGTTTTGCGATCCCAGATGAAACATGTACTGACTTGAACGGGCCCCAGTAGGGGGAGGGGTCTTCTCAAAGGGCCCAGAATTCCTAAAAAATCTAGTTGTACCTTCTCAGGTTTGGCGATGTGTTCGACACTGTAGGTTTGGAGGGTCCAATTGCCTTCTCAGAAGGTGGTACGACTGGATCTCAGAAGGTACCAAGAGAGGTTGAACAGCCCTTTTGCGCAGCCCATATGTACCACTATAGGGTCCTATATGGTCTCTCAACCTCTCTTGGTAGGACTGCCGGACTGCCTTTGGCAGGCCACCCCGTGTGACCGCCCGCACTCGCCCGCACGCGCCTCAGGAGGGCAAATCCCGGTCGCTTCTGGGACGCCACCGACACTTGTGGGGATGCCCCAGTCCCCGCGCCGTTCCACCGGGCGGCGCGAAGTTCTGTGTGTGTTGGACGAACGGGCGGTGAAAACCCTGCCGTGCTTGGTAGAACGAACTAGTGCAGGAACTACCAGGACCTGCAGTTCGTGACCTCTTTCTCTCTTTCTGTTCGTCTCTGTTTGTGACCTCTTTAGGGACTAAGTGACCTCATTCTAGGATCTCAAGTTAGGTCACTTTGAAGGTCCTGGTACAAATGCATTTTTGTGAGTCAGTGATTTTAATTTGAGGCACTTTGGGTGGGCTGCTGGTCACATGATGCTGCAACTTCAGCACCGCCTGAGATTGAAACCCGCCAAGAAGACGCATGAAGACACTAGTAGCTGGCCTGGCAATGCTTAGCAGTGCCTTTGGGTGGGTGCTTTTGTGTGGTGTTTCGCCTCATATGTTGATTGAGTAAGAATCTGAAGATTCCTCAATGTCGATTCGAAACGACGTGTTTCCGATGCACAGTTCCATGGGTGCCGTGGGTCCGAACTTTTCAGTGGCCCCACTGGTCAGTCACTCGTCGAGGACCAGTTGAAGAGAAGTATATAATATACATGTTTCTATGTCGATCGGCAGATAGAATCATGCTTTGGTCTCTTTTTTGTAGATGATGGTCCTTCATCTCTATTTCATCTCTGATTAGTGTGTTGATTTATATGATTTATAATGAAATAGTGAAATATATAGTGAACCATTTATATAGTGCAGTTGAACAGACTTCTGCACTGGGATTTCCCAGCTCCACCTTCGGCACCGTCTCCATGCCACGGCCGTTTCCATCCAAGGCCCCTGCTTCTGGAAGACGTGCCTTACAGGCCGACTGCATCCGCGGCAGTGGTGATTTGATGTCATTGACTGCCACCAGTACTGCCACCCTAGGCTGATGATTGATGCCATGTGAAGAGTAAGTGAACATGCGCGGCAGCAAACTAAGTGAAAGCATTGGAGAGTAAACAAACCCTACCAGGTCAAAGACCTCATGTTTACTATGATATGGAGTTGGTCGCATGAAAACACGAGGTTTTACTGAGCCTTTTTTGACCTGTACACTTCCAGCAGGGATCCAGTCGTACCGAACCTCAGCAGGTGATGTGTTCGACACCGCTATGTAGGTGCCAAGTCGGGTCCAGTCGTACCGAACCGGTTCGGTACGAAAACGGATCCATTTAGGGACTATCAAAGTGACCAGCATTTATCAACGACACACCCGCCTCTTTCGACCGGATCCGGCGCCCCGTTTGGAGCGGCCGAGCGGCCGTTTTAGGGACGTCCGGACTCGACGTGACGTGACGGCCAGGATCCGTTCGCGCTCCTTGACTGGAGGAGGTGTTTAGTTTATATATGCCAAAAGCAAACGGTTGGAAGCCGTACTTGTAGGAGGCCATCGCTTCTGGTGAAGCGAATTTGGAATTGGGGGTGGCACTTGTTGGTTGGTGGAATCCGTGAATCCGTTTGAGTGCTTCCCTGATGTGGCGCAGACCAAAGGTAACATGCCTTGCATATTGCATATCATAGCTGGTAGGCGATGTCCCCATTGCCTATAGCGGTCGGTAAGGACCATCTTGTGGCCGGTCTGTCTTTTGAAACCATCATCATCCAAGATTACTCCTAATGAGATATACCCAATACGATTATTGTATACACACAATTGTACATGAAAGTTGTGCTTTACAGGAAACATGAGCATGCGATGAACATTTATCCTCTTTTGGGTGTGAGCGAATTGCCTCATCGAATTCCCTCCTGCGGCAGTTGGACCATCGGAGGAGGTCCAGAAGTTGGGCCGAAGTGTATTGAAGACCCTTTGCCTGAAGTTGTGACATTCCGAACGTGTTTTAAAGATGCTTTCAGGGTCAATCACAATATACTTTGAAAACCCAATGGGTTCTTCATGATCCTTCAGGAGATAGTCATCCTCCTCCTCCTCCCTCCTCCCAAAACAAAGAAGGACAACACCATATGCACCCAGTCACAGTATATGCGGCATGTGTGTTGCATTATATTCGGGGGCTGCTGTGCGGAGGTACTAAACATCAACAACACAAAGTTCCTTTCAGAATCTGACCCTAGGGCTCCAAGTAGGGTCCAAGTACCTCCTCAAGGTACTTGGGCCCTCCCCCAGCCCAGTCCCACAATCGAAACGAAGGTACCACTGGAGCTCTAGGGGTCAGATTTTCATCTTGTGGCACCGCCCGAGGACACGAGGATGACACACCCAGACACTCCATGGGACTGCCATATTATGCCTATATACATTGGGGTGGCGGTGGTGGTGCCAGGGAGGTAGATGTAGGCATATATTGCAGTCCCATGGGTCGTGTTTGGGATTGATGGGTTCGCCTTCGTCTGGCCTTCGTTTGGACCACCCGCACCACCGAGGCAGCGAGCGCGCGGCGGTGAACTTCGCCATCCAGGGCTCCGGCGCCGACCTCGTCACGGCACGCGGCGGACCGTGCGGCGTGCGACAGGTTGGAGGGTCGGTAGGGCCGCGTCTGGAGACCAACAGAGGTTGAAGAACCCCAACGTTCGGCTATCCCAGTTCGGTATATTTGGGTGACGGGTCCTAGTTCAGGTCACTTAACCTCTGGGAGGCAGGGATTTTTGTGGTGGCGCCACGTTTTTGAGTGTCGGAGAGAGAGATTAGAGGGGCCTATTTTCAGGGGGAGCAGGAGGTTGAAAGGGCTTCAAGGTTGTAGGTGCTGGTTGTAGGTTGCGGATGGCGTCTGAGAACATCAACCAGTGAAGTTTCCTTCAACCAGTATCTACCTCTAGAGAACATCCTGCCCGAGCACCTGAGTGACCCTCTTGCCCGAGTATGTCGGAGCAATCTGTCCGATTCCTCCACCCGCAAAAAGCGGGTTCACCCAACGAAAAGAAGCCGGTCGTGTCGATCGAGCGACGAACTATCTGCATGAATCCATCGTTGGATGTGTAGAACTGACTGTGGGCATCCGAAAGCCCATGAAAACCAGTCATGACGTGCAAAAACGCTCCAAAAACGAGTCGCTGCACCAAACTCGCCGCACATCGCCGCGCTGGTGCAGGCGGCGATGTTGCAACTGGAGTCTCATCCTCGTTTGCAGGTGAGGGCAGCTCTGGCTTGGATGAACTCGTTTTTGCTCGGTGGACGGGTGAAGAGGGGAACATGTTGTGTGTACTTATTCCAGGACCTTCAGTTCGTGACCTCTTCTGTTCGTCTCTGTTTGTGACCTTGTACAGCCCTGTTCGTGACCTCATCCTGGGATATCAAGTTAGGTCGCGTACTGAAGGTCCTGGTTGATGTTTCATTTTGTTTCACTGCCATGACTGGACATGAGATTCTCAGTCAAGCTAATTATATATGTTGTTTCATGTGTTGTTTCCTTCAAAACCATCTGCCCTTTTCTGGGTCTTTCTTCGGTGTTTCTGGGTGTGCACCGTGAGACCGGTGGCCCGTCTTGTTCGTCGCCGATGTCGATCCATGCGACGGCCAAGATGACCCACATTCACCATCCCAAAAATAGATACCCCATGAGCCCAAATGTATGAACACATATCCCTGAGGATCGAAAGTTAGCTCTATATATGCTAACATTTGTGGTTGTGTCTTCTGGGGCTCTCCGACCTCACCCTGTGAGGTCCGACCTCAAAAAACGAGATCATACCAGACCCAAAAACCACAAAACCACAGAACCCAAAAACCACAAAACCAACGATCCCAAATTCAAATTCGTCACGGGTTGTCACGTTGGAGTCCGACAATGACCTCATTTTTAAAGGGACAAAATAGACCAATCACGGTCTGTCACAGTTCGTCACGCCCTGGTATGCTTGGTTCTTGGGATTTCATGGTCTTATCCTCCGACAATGATACTGGAATTGTATATACATTTCAGATACCCCAATCTGTGATTCGACAACGTCTTCAAATAACACGATCAATAGAAACGTATGCATATCCTGAGATCATTTCTATTTGTGACCTATATATGTGTGGTCATGGATCGTCAGGGTATGGAGGCCATAATTAGTGTGTTTACCATTCTTCTGGGGCATGGCAGTCATGTCCCAGGATCTTCAACTCGGGCCGTGGCGAGCCAAGTGATAGGTGTCGATGAGTTCAGCATACGAACAACTGAGGGTGTTGTCCGTCTCCTTCAGGAGGTTTTAAGAAAAGGTGGATCACCTGGAAACACCGTGTTCTTTCGGGGGGGGTGGAAAGTGTGGTGAAGCAGCAACTATGTCCCACTTCCGGTCCGACCAGGAGCTGGGCTTCCAGCTGGTGTTGCAGGTGCGGAGGATGGTGGGGAACACGGAAAACGGGGAAATGCAGCCCTGGTAGATCCTCACCCCACGGCCAGGCACCAGGTTTTAGAGTTTAGAGCTGAGAATCCGTAGCTTTCGATGGTCTTAAGTGGCTTTGGTTCTTTGTTCGGGGAGTGAGAACGGAAAACACTCCAAGTAGGGGGAGCATCGGCCAAAACCCAAGCACAAAGATTCACAAAGTCCGTGTGTCAAGTAGAGGGTTTGGTTGACAGCATGACACACCAATCCTCTGGGTTTTTGCTGGTGTCCAGGACCCCTTTTGAAACACGCACCCTTTGAGGTGCTGGAAAGCCTGGTTTTGTTTGCGCTGGTGAAGCCATCGTCATCTCGGTCACCGAGTCAACGTAAATGCTTCGGCCCGCGTCAGGTGCATGATGAGTTGGTGCTGGAAGGACCCAAAGATGGAGCTAATGAGGCCGTTGGGGGACGCTCTTTGCTTCTTCGGCTGAGGGAAATCGTTGTTCCAATGCCATGTGCCAATTGGTGTTGGAACAGTTGTCACATCATTCTTTAGAAGTGATTGATGCTCTTATAGGGTGTGTGTGTGTGTGCGTGTACGTGCGGAAGATCAAAGAAGTCCTTGGGCCCAGTTTTTAGTGGATGAACCCCGCTCAACAATCCGCCTAACGAAAAGCACGGGGTTCTCATTCATTTATACAGTAGTGGTTTTAAGGAGATGGCACAGACCCCATGATCCATCATGAGTTCCATCATGATCCCATGATGTCCTTTAGAACTGTAGATGGGGGTCCATGTAAACCACTGACATTGCGGTTTGTGCCATTTTCGTCCTCTTCAATCCACCGGCGCCCGCCGATCATCACGGGTCGGGACCGTCGCTGCACAGATCGGCGGTCGCCCGAATCAGGCGGCCCAGATCATGAAAGACGTCATGCAGGAGCCCTTCAAGGAGCCAGCGATGGGATGGACGAAATGACCGACCATTTGTATAGCGCTATACATGGACGGCAGAAAAGATGTGTGAAGCACTTTGTTTCGTGTCAAGGGATGTCCTTTAGACTTAAACCCATGAGCATCGATATGTTTGTACTACTAGGTACAAGAATCTACTAGGGGCGCTCCTGGCATTACTACCAGGAACAAGAGGCTGCGAACGTAGCTCCGGGCATCGATACGTGCGTAACAAGTGCATATTTATATCCTTGCGTCCTTGCGATGTGACGTTTTTCAGCCACCGGTCAGCGGTTTCGTGGCTTCTCCCGTCAGTGGTTACGTCGGGGCCGATGGCAGCGGACGCCTGGGAGCGGCATCGATGGTCTATAGGAGAGCATCCCCAACTTCTCCATGCGGGTGCCCCTGGAGGCTGGAGACAGAGAGATGGGGCATCAGCAAACGATCACCCAGGAGGAGATCGTCAGATTTGGATTTGAGATCGGCATCTCAAAAGAACACCCTAGACCCTCCAAGTACCTTCGAAGGGACACCATCGGCCATCGGTACCAGCCGTGGCGGGAAATTCGAGGTTGGATGTTTGGTGTGCTGAAAGGAGGTAAGCCTTACGACCGGCGACCGGTGCGCGAACCCCTAGGAACGGAACAAGAAGCTAGAAACGAAACAAAGAAATAAACCACAAAAAAAATCGTAGTATTTTATTACTAAGAAGCTTCTAGGACCTTTTCGCGCCAGTTTCCCTCGAGCGATTCTCCGGTCGCAGCGATGCCAGCGCCCCGTTCGTAGCCCTTCGGTCGCGTCCGATCGCTCCCGTAGTGCACGATGCCCAGCAGGTGACGTTCAACTGCAATCGATTCTGTATAGGACTCATTGAGACTCTTGGCCTGTGAGTAGCTGGATCTTCGCGCCAGGTGAGTCTCTCCATCTCTGAAAATCTCTCCGGGAAGGCACCAGTGCCTGCGCATGGACAATCGCCATGGGGTGTGGGGTGGTGAGGAGTACGCATCTGAGCGTCGATGTGTGAGGTCGTGTAATACTCTTAAGAAGTCACAAAAACACAGAAACGACATTGATCGATCTGTTAGATCCACCAAGACCGACATTGATCGATCTGTTAGATCCACCAAGACCGACATTGATCGACATTGTAGTAACACGCTGAGGAGAGGCTTGGGGTGAACAGGACTGATGTGACTGGCACTGTGACCTGCATTGTGGGGTTTCTGGACCGTCGGCATGCAATTCCACATCCTTAAGCGTAACTAAATCAGTAAGCCATTCGACAGTCAACTCAACATGTTCCACATACACCCTGCCATGTAACGAAACGACCGCCTCGCTGGACCGGCGGTTCCGGTTCGGAAGCGGGGGTTCCCCGCCAGGCATGAGCCCGGACCCACCGTCCACTCTCTCATCGTCGCCCGGGGCGCCCAGCGACGAGGAGCCGGTGAGAGCAAAAAGCTCGCTCTCTGGCGAGCCGCAAGGAAGGTCTTAGCAGGTTCCATGCAGGGTAAGAGGTTGGACGGCAGTCTTGGAAGAGGCAGTCTTGCGTTTGAGATGCTTTAATAACTGGTCTTTGAGTCCCGTTCCTTCTGTTTCCCGAAAATCACCCCAAAAACAGATGTTGCGCTTGTGTTTGAACACCACCGAGCCACCAGCTCTCAGGAAGCCGAACTCTCTCTTCGCCCCCAGAGCTGCGAGGGGACCGGGCGGTATTCATTCTCGAGGGAAAATGAGCGGCAAAGGAAGGTGGGAAGACCAGCTCGATGGCTGAGCCGTTCCTGAACGGAACGGTCGTCTCCGCACCAAAAAAGAACAGTATACTAACATGCTTGACCGGGTCGACAGTGGTCGACCAATCCCTCAGTAGAACAATGGTTGTTTGGGATGAAAAGCCCATGAAAGCAATGGTTGGATGTTGGAATCCCAGGGCTTTGATAGCAGACTTGAGAGATTTGGCACATTTCTTACACTTGGCTTGTTGGGAAGAAATTGTAAATACTTGGTGCATACGTTCCTTGTGGAAGCAAGCATCCGCAACTTGTGGTTAAGGATTTGATCAGCACCCCTTGTGCTCACATCCCTTACCCTTGTCACTGTGTTCAAGTCATGTTTGCAATATAGTATTGAACTATATATTGAACTCAGGTCAACAATTCCACCATTAAATTGGTCAGGCTGAC